TGCTGGAGCATCCCCTGTGGTGGACTGGACCCGCCTGGCTCCGCGAGCACCGATCTCACTGGCCGAGCGGAGACCTTGTGATGTCCGACGCCGATCTGCCCGAACAGAGAGTCGCGGCACACGTCGCCACCGAGAAAATCGAGGAGGAACCCGAGATGCTTCTCCGGTTTTCCTCCTTGCACCGGCTCCTCCGAGTCACGAGTTGGTGCTTGCGTTGGCGTCGCACCGCTTCCCGCACTACCGCACTTACACTGCAATCGACCGAAATCAATGACGCACTGCTGCTCTGGCTCCGCGTGGTGCAAGGACTGCACTTCACCACCGAGATCACGGCACTCTCTTCAAACCGCACTGTGTCCCATCGCAGTTCGTTAGCGAGCCTGAGTCCATTCCTGGATGACCACGGCGTGCTGAGAGTCGGAGGCCGCCTCAAGCATGCCCTGCTCTCCACCGATGAGCGACATCCGATGATCGCACCGCCGTCCTCGTGGCTCACTCGGTTGCTCATCGAGTCGTGCCACCATCGAACACTGCACGGAGGAGTGCAGCTCACTCTCGGCTTACTCCGCCGTCGCTTCTGGATTCCTCGTGGCCGCTCAGTTGTCAAACAGCGGCTGCACCGCTGCATCACTTGCACCCGCTGGCGAGCCACGACACCGCAACCGCCGATGGGCGACCTTCCGAGAGGCCGAGTCACGCCAGCGCGTCCTTTTCTCCGGACCGGCCTGGACTATGCCGGCCCGATCCTCCTCCGCACGAGCAAGGGCCGCGGACATCGAGCGTACAAGGGCTTCATCGCCGTATTTGTGTGCCTCTGCACCAAAGCGGTGCATCTGGACGTCGTGTCAGATTACACGACGGACGCCTTTCTCGCAGCTTTCCGTCGCTTTATCTCCCGTCGAGGCCTCTGCGAGGAGATGTACTCAGATTGCGGCACTAATTTCGTGGGAGCCGATTGAGTCCTGAGGGAGCTCTTTCGAGCGTCGTCTGCCGACGGCCGTCGCCTCGCCCACGCCGCCGCCATGGAGGGCATAACCTGGCACTTTAACCCTCCGGCTGCGCCGCACTTCGGAGGACTGTGGGAGGCCGCCGTGAAGTCGACCAAATTCCATCTCCGTCGGGTAATTGGAGAGACAACGCTCACTTTCGAGGAGATGAGCACTCTCCTCTCTCAGGTCGAAGCCTGCCTTAATTCCAGGCCGCTGCAGGCTTTGTCCGACGATCCG